TGCAGTCGTCTGAAATGAAATATGTTATCAGGGTTTAGCAGCCTGAGCCAAAGCACCTAGAGTTTAGGGTTTACATGTTTACATCCAAGAGACTGTGTCTTTATTGGCAGCCACGCTAAAACAGTGCAGGCCTGGATTTATTCTGTGCTGTGTTTGTCCTACTTTAAAAAGTCATTTGTAGTTCAGTGTTGAGACGACCTGTCACAAATGTCTCAAATCTAGTTGTGTACAGGTGAGGGAACACTATCATGATTGTGAACGTGTTTTCACCTCGGGTATCTCTGGCAAAGCACTAGTTATTATTTGCTATTAACAAATAGACACAAGCAGTGGTGGAAAGTAATGCATTACCATTACTCTAGTACTGTCAATACTATATGTACAATTTTGATTTACTTTTCTAGGTATATATCATTAATCAATACATTATGATACATTACAATCCAATAATTAATATGCATTATTCTGCAATGACACTGCAATAACTTTTGTCACTTTAAGTTTATTTTGATGCTAATACTTTTTTACTTTAAGATTGCTTTTTGTATCTATACAAATGAATTTCACTTGACGTTGTGGTATTGCAAAATATTAGTTTAATTTGACAGATCTTCCTCCAACACGGATCGGAAGTTTTCTTTTTTCTTGAGAGCTGAACAATTTCAGGAAGTTGGCTGAAAAGAATTGGTCGATGTAAACTTTTCATTGATTTAAACCATTTTATGACAACAATTCTGTCTGATGCGTAAACGCTATACAAAGTGTTCAAAGCTGTTCATTTGTCTTTCTGAAAGACCGCAGAAGCAATAGAAAAGATTCAACGATACATTGTGTGCTGTGAAGTATTTATTTCCCAAATGTCCACACTGTTTGCAACATTTTCATACTGCTGTTGAACAGAAAATAATAGAAGACACCAAATTTACCATTATTTACATTTCTCTTTCCCACCTCCTGATCTGGAAATAGTTTCTCTATTTTGTGTTCGCAAGTAATATTATACATTTTGACATCTGTAACTTCTATTGCACCTATCAGAGAATGATGAGCCATCTGATTATCTATTCTGACAACAACATGGATCACACATGTTTAGAGAAAAGTGTGGCTGTCCTGAACGCTTTGAAAAGAAAGTACTGATCATGGTTTTGAATGAAAGGTTATGCTAAGCTTTTTCTTTCACAAGTTTCACCAGAAAAAACATAATTTTGAATTTTGAAAGCAGTGGCGTAAAAAGAAATGTATTGACTTACACTGTGAAACACAAACACTTTGCCTTTTCTTGCTGAATATATTTGTTTAAAAAATCCATGGAGATGAATCTGTCTGCGCTAACAACTGCAATTACTGTCAGCATGAGATCTGACAGCGCAAAGCCATTGAGCCCAGCCGAAACATGGCAGACATTCCCTCTGCTTCTTTTAAAATACATCAACTAATTGGTGATGTACAATGGATGGAGGACAAATTACAGAGGACTGTTCAGCTGCCTTGTTAAGAGCCTTCAAATGGTCGATGATTTGTAGGTCGATTGCTCAATTTGCAGTTATTCCAGCCTTTGATTATATTTTTTAACGCCTTTACCATAAAATCAGTTACGTATCAATTATTTTGAAAAGTCTCTTATAGTGTACGTGATGCCTTGTTTTCATAGGTGAAAATCTATGACTAAATCTGGCACATTTACATGATGCACTCAAGTGCTAATGTTAATAATGTGAATAAAAGAAATTAATAAAACAAATCTCTCCATTAAAACGCCAAAGCTGGAAAATGAAAAGTTGTCCCTCCTCTGTTTAATGCCTGGGTGTCCTTCAGCTCCATATATGTTCCATATAAAACCAGAAGCTAGCAGAAGCACTTCATAGAAATACTCAGCAGGAGGAAGCTGACCTCGGCACAGCCTCCAATATAACCTGGACTTCCTCCCAGGGCAGAAACAGCTGTTTGGTATTCGCCACCATAAGTGAAACATATTCTGTGTTTTGCAGGGCCTGCTCATCTCTGCCCTCTGATTTGATGCTTCTGCGCCATCTTTATGCAAAGCACACTGATGAAGCAGCCACTTATCATTAAGTGGCTGTGAGTTATACATCAAGGTTTCATGTTATCAGTTTATATATATGCATTATAAATCCAGACCAAGTGCTATGTCTTAATGCATTCCTATTAGCGGGGATAAATATGAATTCCAACACTGTTAAAACATATTTAAAGAAAATAACTTTTAAATTGTTACACATTTAAAAAAATCTTATAATAAATGACCAATCAGTGCAAAAATCTATGCCATTACAACAATACATATTATGTATTATAATTCAGTCCTATTTCACTTATAGTTATTTTAAGGTAAATTACATGAATTCTATTTGTCCTTTTACATTTAAATCCTGTAAGAAAACAGGTTTAACACAATGGCTGTCACAGATCTAAGCTACACTACAAATATATCTTATCTGTTTTTTCTTCCAATCTAGAGAAACATTTCAAAGGAAGTTAAGAAATTTGAGCAGAAGAACAATAAGGAGTTCATGTGTTTGAGTCTGGACCTCCAGCTGAAAGAGGGTGAGTATATACAATCTTTGTAATATTACATTCAACCTAACTTTCAAGGGGGAAAATAGAAAAAAGAAACTCCACAAAAACCTATATAACACACTACAGGACAGGGAAAACCCCAAAAAGCTTAATCCATAATTATACATTTTCATTTATTTGGTTTTATGTTGGTATTATTAATATGGATTTGCAAGGTAAAAGTAACCAAAATGGTCAAATAAATGCGAAAGTATTCAAATGTTATGTAAGCATGCAAAACATTCCCAAAATAGTATTATCCTTTCAAGTTTTACACTAGCTGTTTGTTGTAGCCTAAACAGGGTGGGTTCCCTCTAGCAGTCAATAATCCCTCCCAAAGTCTCAAAGCAGAGCCCCCCCCCCCCACATGTTAGAGCACTGAGAAGCAGCAGATGACTCGCAGCATTAGAGCCAGAGCAAAGAAGAGGAAAGGGGGGGAAAGGGAGGGAGGGAAGGGAGGAGGGGTGGGGTGGAGCTTGTTGAGCAGTTGCTCCGTGTTATGTGTCGTGTAGAAGCAGCCTGGAGAGGAAAGGAGGAGGTATCCGCCGGCAGGGAAAAGATGAAACCCCCTGGGGGAGGTTTGTGTCAGCCACATGCTCCGGCTGCTCCTCACCGAGCCGGCCCTTTGTTATGCTGATTTACTCAGCCTTTTGTCCAAGACTCCCACAGAGTGTCTGTGAGTGAGAGGACAAGAAAGAGAGACAGACTGAAATAGTTTACAACATTTTGCACATCTTTATAATATTCAGGCGATAGCAGCACTTTGCAATATCATGCTATCCTATTCAATACTGATTTAATAATACAACTTTATGATGAAACTGAGCCGGGACTTAACAGTTTGAAGGGTGGGTGACAATTTGACATGGGGGGGCAGGTCGTTCCAGAGCCTGGGGGCTACCGCTGAGAAGGCTCGGTCTCCCCTGGTCTTTCTCTTGGTTTTAGGGACTACCAGCAGCAGCTGATCAGCCGACCTCAAAGCCCTTGAGGCGGTGTACACCTGTAGGAGGTCGGAGATGTACTGAGGGGCCAGCCCATTGAGCGATTTAAAAACAAACAATAACATCTTAAAATGAACTCTAAAATGCACAGGAAGCCAGTGGAGGGAAGCCAGAATAGGTGTGATGTGCTAATGCTTGCGTGTTCCTGTAAGCAGCCGAGCCGCAGCGTTTTGTACCAGCTGCAGGCGTGCCAGCGTGGTCCGGTTTAGGCCTATTATATATCAAGACACTATAAATGTTCTGAGCTGTGATATTGTCTGCATTCGTTTTTCTACCCCCTGTAGAGGGTCTGTAGAGGGTGTATAGTCATAGTGCACCAACCAAAACAAAAGCAACAGGTTTATTTATTTTTAAAGAACAAAATATCCATTTATTAATAGCACCTTTTAAAAAGCGTGAAACTTCTTCCAGGCACACATTATTTGTTTTAAGAAGTAAATGCACAGGTCTGAAACTAACAATTATTTTATTATGGATTCATCATTCGGCCTTTAAATGTCCGAAAAATAGTAAAGACATAAACACATTGCAGGATGTTATAGTTGTAGTTAACATAACGACGGTCTGAATCTCCAAGATATTACATTGACATAGATGAAAAACAGACAATCCTCACAACGTAGAAGCCAATGTTTTGAGTTTTCGCCTCATCGATTAGAAAATTGTTGATCGATAAATTGACTAAATAATAGAAGTATCGAAGTGATAAAAAGTAAACAACAGAAGGAGAAAAAATACTAAGGTCTGAGTGAAGGGAGAAAAAAATAGACGAAGTCACAAAGAAGGAACAGATGTAAGAAAGAGAGAAACTGATGCGGGCACACGTCAGGTTGAAATGTGAACCTAATCAAAGGTAAGGCAGAGTGAAACAAGTGTAACACAAAGACAGTGAGGATGACAGAGGGTGTCCCTCTCCCCTGCGCCCAGCCCCCGTCTTTGACGTCACAGACCGAGACACACAAAACAAGCGTCTCTGCTGAGCTCCTCACTCGCTTTCCAACCGCACGCTCTCCAGCGCACACTCACGCGTGCCCTCAGACACGGAGCAACACTTGCCTCGATACCCGCTCAGCCTTCAGCCGGTGTGCGTGGGAGTGCAATCATCTCTACACCAAAACATTGCACTCCAGCATCAAGAAAAGCCACTCTCACCCCTCGGGACTGAAACAAGCTCCTGTGAGTGATGCCTCATCCTGTGTGAGGCTGCCGACCGGGAGCACACGGGAGAAAAAGGAGAGCTCCGACTCCCATCCCAGACCCCGACCCCGTCCCGAAACCAAAAAGCAGCAGATGTGACAGAGAAGGAGAGGCGGAGAGAAAGAAACACAATCTCCCCCACCCCTCCTTCCCTCATCTGGGAGAACAATAACCAGCTTTCAGTTGGAGAGGGTCAGCTTTTGTCCCTCTCCCCACGCTCCCATTGAGGAGCGAGGAGCAGACAGACGAGCTGACACATTGACCCGCTGCTTTGAGAGGAGGGGATCACGCAAAGCAGTCACTGTGCTTGGAAAGATTTCATTCAGTACTTGGACAGCTCCTGAGCAACCAGCCGGGCCGAGTGTTTCCATGAGTGTGTAGACAATATTGTTTTTGGTTCGGAGACTAAGACACCACAGATGGAGCCCCCGTGTTCGCTCCAACTCGGCCCCTGTGGCCCCTCTCCATCCCTTGGATCGCAGAGCATCACTGCCGGCTTCGAGCAGCTGGAGGAAAAGCAGCTCTTTGAGAAGTTTTGGAGGGGGACTTTCAAGGCTGTGGCCACCCCGAGAGCGGAGAGCGTCATTGTGGCCAGCATCACCGCACACAGGAGGGTGACCAAGTAAGTTCTCTACCTTTTCATCACAGTTAAGGAATAAACACATCTTGGTCTTTCTCACACTTTTGAATTGTGTTGCTGCTTCAGTGTAAGCTGTCAAAGAAGGTCAAGCTTCTTTTTTTTTAGCTAGTAAATCTCCTTTGCTTTTATACGAAACAGGTGGTTGTAGAGGTTTTGTCAAGCCGGACACTGATGTTTGTTTGTAAGCAGTTTCCTAAATGTAGCCATGCCAGAATCACTAAACTCTATTGTCAACAACAGGACGGATCCTTGTTGTGTCAGACATTCCCTAGCATCCATCATATCACCCTGTGTTTGTTCATTTACAAGTCAAGAGACAGTTGTCCAGTTGACAACGCTCAATTAAGATATCTAGGTGGCATAAAAGCATCATTTTAACAGCCTTTTCACGTCTATATATTTTATACTAGCTACTACATGTACACCTTGATATGTTTGTCTCCCAATCCATTCCTTTCCGACGAAAATATCTCAAAATATGTCTTTGGTGTTGATTTATCTCCACCCATTTGAATTATCTCCCTTTTTTGTTTTTGAATGCAGCTGGACATTTGACATACGGCCAAACACAGCTGGCATGGAGAGTGTGACGCTCAGTTAATTGTCCCTTTTAAAGGTCACATGGCGGCATCTAAATGCCTATAATGTCACACTTGTCCCCCTCTTTCCACTTGTGACATTGCTTTGTGACAGTATCGGTTAAAGAAGCAACATGTCACGTGTTTTTCCCCCCTTTTCATCCATCCAACCAAAGGTTAGTCCGAGAAGAAATGAAAAATATCTGTTGCCCTTTCTCTTCTTCATCCATTCCTTTTAATCCCATCTTTGCTCCTTAGTGTGCAATCAACCATCAACTGCTGGCCTTGACAATTTGATCAATTGTGTCATGCACTGCTCTGCCTTTTTTGTCAAATACCATACCATTTTGGCAGTAATACAGAATACGTAATGAGTGATCAAACAGGTACATCATTTAACACACTTGTGTGTTTGCGCATGCGTACTCACACGTCAAATGATGTAGCTTGCTTGGTTGACCTTTGAATGGTTTTGACACCCATTATCAACTTTCTCTTATGTGAAATTAGCTATGTTAATGAGGATTAGAATGGCCCATTTCATCCTACATCGGCACAGGCGGCGCAACACACTGAACCAGATAATGTGCGTTTAATGGGTTCAATTACAGCAGGGCCGTAATGCTGCACATGGCCTGGTTATAAACTATTTTATAACCTTGCATGATATGACAAAAAAATAACACTTTACTTAATTGTGCCCCCAGCTCAGCAATCTAACCAAATAACTACAGCCCTATTTAAAAACAACCATAACCTGGTACATAAGATGGAATCCATTGCATACTATTTGGGGAAACTGGCAAAAATCAAATTGAAAGAGAAAAAATTAACACAGTAGAAAATTAGCTTCAATGTGGCTGGCTGCCATGAACTGAGCAGCCTTTTTTTTAAATAGCTGGAGACTCTGGAGCGGGGCCCAGCTGTCTCTTCAGCTTTAGATTTTTAAGGAAGGAAACTCTCCTCAAGTGGCATTGCCCCTGCATGGACTCCATCAGGGTGACAGTGACAATGATGGTGGCATGGCAGGGGCAGGCGGAGACTCAACGTCCCCAGAGAACAGACATAATGTTGCTAATTCGCCTGGGTCTGTTTTTAAGACGTGAGCAGTCTCCTTCGTCCGCTTTTCCCCTGGGGTCCTGTCTCTTTGTACATTTGCTGAAATGCAGATGGACTTTTGGGTGATACAGATTGTAAATAATGAGTAAAACACAACAAACAATACACCCAGAGAATATAAATACAGGAGAGGACTCAAGCTGTTTTGTTCGAGCCGAGTGTGGCCATGGAATGCTAAGACCATTAGATTGCCTACGGCTTGGTCCTCTTCCTCCTTCTCTCCGAGAGGAAACATCATTATTCACCGTGGATAAGTGAGGGGTGAGGAACAATTGCAGTGAAAGTGAGAGGCCATTATCTACAACAAGCAGAGAAGGAGAGAAGAGGGAAGACAGAGAGAAAGCCACGGGGAGATGTTTCATGTTCAATCAGCACGGGTCTTTCTCTTTTTGCACCGTCCTCACCCTTGCTTTCTGTTCTCCTCCTTCTGTCTCTGTTCTGCTGAAATCAAAATGCTAGAGGGGCCAGTGAGCCACAGAGGAGTAATTAGAGTTTTGTTGTCCTCCCCTCTTTGTCCTCACTGTCTCCCCCCTCTTCAGGCCAGTCACTCAGTGCAGGGGAGGAGTTCACTGGCTCTGTGCAGCGGGGTGGGGCTCTGCTTAAAACCATTATGACCCTGCAAGCTGTTTTGTTCGTGGGGGGCTCCTAATTAAATATGCAGGCTTGCTAACTTTGGGTTGTGTGAGAGTGTGTGTGTGCGTGCATTCATGTTCATCTGTACTGGAAATGTTTTGCAGAAATTGCAAGGGTATTAAATGATGCTGTAAGCCTGTGTGTGTCTCCGTGCATGTGTGTGTATGTGTGGCTGCAATAAGTGGGGTCTTGTCCAACTCAGTGGCAGATGGCAGGCTTGAGAGAATGCAATGCATGGGAGAAGGGAGAGTGGGTTTGTGTGTTTCAGGGGGGTTCAGGCCTCTTACCTCAGCAGATGCTGGTTTAACGAGGAAGAGGAAAAGGGTTTGGAGGGGCTTGTTCACTGACAGCACCAGTGGGAATATACAGCCGGGTGGACAAAAAAGCTGGATCACTAAAGCTGGAAAAAATGCATTCAACATGTTTGAAATGGTCTTTTAAATAATTGATCATTATAAGAAAACTTGTAAACATAGTTACAAAGTGTAGTAAAAACTAAAATAGTAAACAGTTATGGCTATTCTGAGATACTATGATTGGGGGTTCCAAAGCAGAAGGCACAGAGTGAAAAGTGACCTCGAGTAACAAAGCAAGTGGGTGGAACAACTAGGAGACCCCCGCCTGAGGATCTCAGTGGCTCATAAGGGATTAACAAATCAACAATACTAGAGGCCTGGCCAAGCAAAGCCTTAAATGTACAAGGAACATCTTATAATCAATTAAAAAACCCACAGGGACAAGATGCAGAGATTCAACAATGGGAATGATGGGATCTGATTTGAACAGTAGTCAAACTGAGAGGAAATAGGCTGAAGGACGTATTATTGTACCACTCTAGTTGCTCAGTTTTTGAATGGCGAGGACTCCTTTTAGATAAGATGATTGATGATTGATGTATTTACAGGAAACGCTGAGCCATCCAGCACTTGCGTCAGAGAAACAGCTGAGGAGCGAGGCTATATTTGCATTCTCAAAGAGCAAACAGCTGTATGTCATCGCCATAGAGATGAAAATCAATACGGTCATCAAATATGCGGCCTATTGGCAGCATGTGAATGGACAACTATTGTCTCCCCATTGCACAGGAAAACTGTGTTCACAACTTTAGCACGTTTGGTAGGTCATTGTTGAACTTCTACTCTTTGATGAATTGATAGTTTAGGTAATAATGTACCTTTTCTCTTTAACATAAGTTTGGCCGAAATGGTGGTTTGTTAACAATATATACGATTGTTTGACAGCTAGAGTTTTTGTCTGCTCTGAATTACTTATGTTGTTATTCTCAAAACATGCTTTGGTGTCCACTCCCTGTTTAGGAATTTTGTCTGAATTTCTACGTCTATGTTATAGCATGCTGGCAATTTCACCCACATAAACACAAACATACAGACATCAAATGTTCTGAGAGTGAGAAGAAATGAATTGAGGATAACATCAAGGAGAAGCAGTCAGAGCTCCCCCTGGGACATAGCGTCTCTCTCTTTCCTTCGCTCTGTGAGAATGACAAACATGATTTAGTGACGGACGAGGGGTTTGTCTTCCGTTATATATCTCTCTGTCTGCAACCCTGCTCTTTTCATCGCTGAGTATCTTAACGCGACTTCTCTCCCTCGCCTCACATCAGTATTTCTCTACCTCTTTCTCTCTGTATCTTTTTATTTTGCGTAAATTCGCCCTCTCTGTGTCTGTGTGGTATTACTCAGAGCACACAGGAGGCGGCTGCTGAGGCATGCTGACAAGAGAGTAGGAGATGATACTCCCAGACTCCCCGGGCAGGAATAGGACTTATCACTGCAATGAATTCACATTTAATATTTATTCCAATGTAGCCAGTCCATTTGAATCAAACCATTTTCTTTGGCTTGACACATTACACATCGTTCCAGTGTGTGTTTGCAGCAGGATGCATTTTGTATGTCAGCAGCTACAATAGAGAGGCTATTAGGTAAAGGTGGTTCAAATTTGGCATTGTTTTCTGTATATCTGATACACAGTCACAGCATGTAGTTGCATTAGAAGGAATTTAAGAAATCCAAGATACAAATAAAGTAAGTGGTGGAAAAGAACAGGAGGAAAAGAGAAACATTTCTTAATTGAAATGATTTTGGAAATGTTTCTTGAACGCTTAAATCAAGATTAGACAGATGCAATTTAACAAGAAATTGGCATCAAACAACAAACCCAGGTGTTTGACAGAAGGCTTGGTGTTTTTCATTTTCGAAAGGACATTGTAATGCAGAAGCTAAGACTACTACGACTGCTCATTTCTTGTTTGGCTGAAGATATTTTGGCTCATTAACAAATAGAGAGTGAGAGTAGTTTAAATCTTAATGATCAAGCATTTCTGAAGTTTACCAAGATGTGTAGAACATCCTCAAATTCCCCAAAAACACTGAATCACCCAGCTTTTTCAACTATAAATTCAAAGTATTTCAAAACTTTTGACACAACTATCTAGTCAGCAAATTGTAGAAAATCAACATTTTCCTTTTTCCTTATTTCTGCACATATAAAGGAGTCACATTGTGTCAGTTATGTCCATTTTATACTGTAGCAATATTTATGCAATATTTTGTTTTGGTCAAATAACATTACTGTAGCTGCCTTAACCTACTCAGTATGCCGGTCACAGTAAAGCTGTAGATGCAAAAC